AGTCAGAAGTGATTTGCCGTCAACTGCGAGTCAAAAAGTGTATAGGCTTGCTAGACAAGTGTGTCGGACACTTTCCCCTAATTACTGACACGATTAATGCCCCTTCGTCAGAAGGAAAAATATTATCCATATCTTCCAGAAAATTTTTCTCTACGCTTCCCATTCGGTTCTAATGCCCCAAAATTAATTTCACTAAAATTCGTTTTTGACAACCCTAGAAAAAAACACCTGACCGAGCAATCATCTCATTAACCGAAAGAAATTGAAATATATCGAACACCATAAATTACGACCCAACTCTATATTTAAAAACATTTTCAATTTGGAAACACCAAAAATAAAGTTCTTATATATATATATTATATTATATTTAAATATCAAGAAACCGAATAATATAAGTAATTTCTCTTGCAAGACAATTCAAGATTTATTTCTCCACCTCATCAAATTACAAATTTCGACATCTCTTCCAAATTGGAAACAATAAAATTGTCAGTAATCCACATAATTGTGCAGCGAGAAAATGTGGATAGTATTTATGGTGACGAATTAACGTCGCTATTACAAAATGACAAATAATATAAAAAATAAATATTTTTACATAGTGCATTAAACATGTTTGTTTCGTTTTTTCGAAATTCTTTAAATTCTCCGGCAATTGTCGTAAAATAATCAATTGTCTTCCACTCGATAATTTACAATCAACTTGCGCGTCAACACAATCTTTACTATTGTTATTATTATTACTGCTATCGGAATTATTAATTTGATTCAATGGATTACATAATCCTGGACACTTTATAGGCTGCCCTGATCGATTCCTCCTGCCCTGAAGTCGTTTCATTTCAATAAATTTTCACCCCTTTTTTCTCTAAAACGAAAATTGAGAAAACTTTTATTAATATAAAATTCACGATAGAGGAAAACTTTCATAGAAAATTTAAAAAAAGGAAATTTAAAAGAATTTTTCGAATTTTGAATTTTTTTTCAACTTTTTGATTTTGAAACAATAAATTAATAAAAAAAATCAAACATTGAATCAATTAAAATATTATAAATATTTTTAAATTAGAATATTTTAATGAAATATATTCTCCGTTTCAAAAATGAGTCATTGTGTACCAAGAGCGAAAAAGAGATGATTTTGCGTTGGGTTTAAAATTTGCTGCTTTCGCTTCGCTCAAGCTGCAAATTTTAAATCCAACGCAATATCATATTTTTTCGCATCAAAATTATTTGCTTTTTTCATCCTGGGTAATAACTTCAATTCTAAATTTTTCCAAAGTTCAATTATTTTTCAAATTTTTAGTTGGATTTCCACAAAAAACAGGATAATCTAATTCCTGCAAAATATTTTTTATTTATAAAAATATTTGAAAATAATTGAATTTCTACGAAGACTTACTTTTTATAACGGAAATATTTGAATTTTTAAGAAGAATTTTATTAAATTATTTATCAAACGATTCAAATTTTGCCAAGAATTTTATTATTTTTGAAAAGAATTTAATTATTTATAAAAATACAATTAAATTTTATTAAAAATAATTAAATAGCTTTACAAACAATTTTTTTCAATTTTATTTAAAATAATTGGATTTATCTGAAAAATAGAAAAATAATTGAATTCTTGCAACGAATGTTAGTAAATTTTTTTTAATAATTGAAATCCTGGAAAAAATTTTATTATTTATGAAAATAATTGAATTCTAGCAACGAATTTTATTACAGTAAAAATTTTATTATTTGTAAAAATAATTGAATTCTATCAAAGGATTTTATTAAAATTTTTGGAAATAATATAATTTTTTTGAAGATTTAAAAGAATTCAATTATTTCGAATAATGTAATTAAAATTGTATAAAAAGTAATTGAATTTTTGCCATGAATTTTATTTTTTATGAAAATAATTTAATTCTTATAAACAAATGTTCAAAATTTGAGAAAATAATTGATGTAAAGAATTTAATTAAAACTTAAAAATAATTCCATTTTTTGAGCAATTGATTCAAAATTCCACTAAAAATAATTGAATTCTTGCAAAGAATTTTACCAAAGCATTGAAAATAATTAAATTATTTCGAAGAATTAAATTAAAAATTTTGAAAATAATTGAACTTCTTGCGAAGAAATTTATTGAAATTCTTGAAAATAATCTAATTCCTGCAAAATATTTTTTATTTATGAAAATATTTGAATTTTTAAGAAGAATTTTATTAAATTTTTCGGAAATAATTGAACTTTTGCAAAGAATTTTATTATTTTCGATAAGAATTGAATTATTACGAAAAATTCAATTAAAATTTTATTAAAAATAATTGAATTCTTGCAAAGAATTTTACTAAAACTTTAAAAATAATTAAATTATTTCGAAGAATTATATTAAAATTTTGAAAAATAATTGAATTCTTGCGAAGGATTTTATTAGATTTTTTGAAAATAATTGAATTTGTGCGAAGAAATTTATTAAAATTCTTGAGAATAATCTAATTCCTAAAAAATATTTTTTATTTATGAAAATACTTGAAAATAATTGAATTTCTGCAAAGAATTTTAATATTTTTGAAATAATTGAATTCTTCGTTAAAATTTCATTAAAATTTTTTAAAAATAATTGAATTTGTGAAAAAAAATTTATTGAAATTCTTGAAAATAATCTAATTTCTAAAAAATTTTTTTTATTAATGAAAAACTTTGGAAATAATTGAAGTCATGCGAAAAATTTTTTATTCGTGAAAATATTTGAATTTTTAAGAAGAATTTAATGAAATTTTTTGGAAATAATTGAACTTTTACAAAGAATTTTATTAATTTGAAAAAGAATTGAATCATTTGAAAAAGTTCTATTAAAAATAATTTAATTCCATCAAGAAATTTTATTCAAATTGTATGAAAAATAATTGAATTTTTCCAAAGAATTTTCTTGAAATTTTTATAAAAATATTTGAATTCATTTAAAAAATTCCTACAAAGAACTTTTTATTTATACCTATGAAAATATTTGAATTTTTAAGAAGAATTTTATCGAATTTCTTTGGAAATAATTGAACTTTTTTAAAAAAGTATTATTATTTTTGAAAAAAAAATATTATTATTTTTGAAAAAAAAATATTATTATTTTTGAAAAAAAAATATTATTATTTTTGAAAAGAATTTAATTATTTTTGAAAAAAATTTAATTATTTGCAAAAATTCAATTAAAGTTTTAATAAAAATAATTGAATACTTTCATAAAATTTTTTTTTTTAATTTTATTTAAAATAATTGGATTCATTTGAAGAATTTTATTGTTTATGAAAATAATTGAATTCTTGCAACGAATGTTAGTAATTTTTTTTAATAATTGAATTTCTGTTAAGGATTTTTTTTTCATTTATGAAAATAATTGAATTTTTGCAACGAATTTCAGTAATTTTTTTGAAATAATTGAATTTCTATGAAGAATTATTTTTATTTACGAAAATAATTGAATTCTTGCAAAAAAATTTTTGAATTTTTTCTAAAAAGAATATTTATTAGTAACTTTTCAAAACCTGATAAATTCAAATTTTGTCATTTCGAGAAATTTAAAAAAATTTAATTCTCAGTCTCACATAACCATTAAAATTAACTTTAATGTAGATAAATTGTATAATAAATTATTTATTCTTGAATATTTTTTCTATTTAAAGCGCTCAGTTTGTAATTAAAGTCTATTGCAAAAAGGAAATTTGAAGTTTTTTCTGAAAAAAAAATTAAAATTAAAAATCATCAAAGTTAGGCTAAAATATTTTTTAAATTGAAAATTCTTTGGTAATATTTTTTTTTTGTTAAATTCAACAGTGATAAATCGATTTGTAAGGATTTTAATATTCGGAGAATGTGTTTATCTCAATTTTTGTGAAAAATGGATTTACCAACTTTTGAAAAATTGCTCCTCAATTAATTAATAATTATTTTACTTTAACTATTAGGGAATTTAAATTTTAAAGTAGTTCTAATTTTGAAAAAAATAGAAAAAAGTAGCTTTTTATTGTTAAAAATTTTAAAAAAGTATCTAAATAGAAGCTAGAGGTAAAAAAAAGTTGTAAATAGTAGGGTTTCGTAGATAAGTGCGCGAAGCCTGAGTCCACTTTCTGTTGAATATACTTTAAAAGAAAATGACGCTTTTTTAGCAGAAAGAAGAATTTTTTTGACATGAAGAATATAGTAAAAATTATCAACAGAAGTAGTTAAAAATAAAAATAATAATAACAACAATGCGAGTGTAAATGGAATTTAACGACACTGAGAAGAATAGCATTACAAACAGAAGGAGGAAAAAGAAGTGAAAGATGACGTTACACAGAGAGTATTGAAATGAAAGGAAAATTTTCCACTTTTCATAATCATTGTCTACTTACAGGCAAATAGTATGAGATAAAAAGAGAGAGAGAGAGGGTTATTTCGTTTGTGGCACGTGCGTTTACAACAACGCGTTCCAACTTGAAGGTGTTGAGACGACTGCGTGTAACGAGGTTCAAGGGTGACTCGCTCGTAACGATGCTTGAAAAGCCTGCGGGCGTTCCTTTCAATCATACAGGCACGAGGCAAGACTAGACGTGGAGGCGTTTTATCTAGCCACTAGAAAGCAATTTTAATCCTTACATTTTTTTTCCCCTCCTTATTCCTTCCTTATAAAACAAAAATAAATACCTCCATTACTCTTCCAACTCACATCAACAAAAACATTTCACAAAAATCAACAAAAATCTCTTCTCAAAAATCCCTAACCACAATTGCACATCATAAAATCAAACTGTCATCTATTAAACGATTGTCAATTATTTTTTTTTCTTCTCTCTCTTGATCGCAAATAAAAGAAGCGACCCATCAAAAAGGTGTTTGGAGCGTGAAATTCTTTGGATTTTGAATTGAAATAAAAGTGTAACCATTCGAGATGCTAATCATACTGACATATCATTTTATGTATATGTGTTTCTTTATTGAAAAAAAAAAATTTTTTTTCTCTCTCCTCGCAGACGAATGTTTCCGACCTGTCGTGTGTCCTTCAGTGGATTAAGATCCGACGGGCATTACGCAGTTTTGATGGATATCGTACCGGTGGACAATAAAAGGTACCGATACGCCTATCACAGGAGTTCTTGGTTGGTGGCCGGAAAAGCTGATCCTCCGGCTCCTGCGAGACTTTACGTTCATCCCGATTCGCCATTTAAGGGAGAGCAACTTCGAAAACAGGTCGTTTCATTTGAAAAAGTTAAGCTCACCAACAATGAAATGGACAAACACTGCCAGGTTAGTGCCTATAGCAATATTTTAATCAACAATTTAAAAAAAAATAAAAAAACAAGATTATAATCTTTTTTTCATCAAAGCTTTTCTGAGGATATCAATAAATTGAGACAAAAAAAACGTATAAAAAAAGTTGCTTTGCAACTATTTTGATACATTTTCTTGACTCAATTTATTGATATCGTTGATAAATTGAGACAAAAAAACGGTGTCAAAACGTTGCTTCGCAACTATTTTGATACATTTTTTTGGCTCAATTTATTGATATCCTTAAAATAACTTTAAAACAGTTGCGAATATCAAAACTTCGCAACAATTTTGATCCGCTTTTTTGTTTCAATTTAATATCCTTAGAAAAACTGCGTGAAATAATTTCGAAGCAACGTTTTGATACTTTTTTTTGGCCCAATTTGAAATCCTTAGAAAAATTGTGACCATAAATATATAAAAATAAGGTCATTATTATAAAGAATGTCTAAATTTTTCTCCATCATTTAAAAAAAAAAATTTTTATAACAAATTCAGAAGGTATTTTATGACGAAAAATTGGATTAATGGTAAAGTGCTCCACTAGTAACTACTAACTTCGCATCAAGAGTTCGAGTCCCAGAAAAAAAAAATTTTTTTTCACTTTTTATTTTCATAAATTCCACATTTCCCTGTCTTTCTTATTCTCAATATAGTTTTTAAATAATTTTATAGTTATTTTTATAGTTTCATAATTTTTTAGTTTTTTTAACTAATTTATTTATAATTTCTCGTTATTTTCAAAAATTTTTTAAAAACGCCGCAAAATAATTCAATTATTTTCAGAAATATAAGAAAAAATCCTCAGCAAGAATTCAAATATTCTGAATAAAATTTTAATTAAATTCAGCGAAATTTAAAAAGTAATAAAATTCTATGCAAAAATTCAATTATTTTTATTACGATTTTACTTAAATTAGACGAAATTATTCAATTATTTTCAAAAATAATAAAATTCTCTGCAGGAATTAAACAAATTTCATAAATAATAAAATTTTGCAGATGAATTCAATTATTAAAAAGAATTTTTTTTCTTAATTTTCCAAAGGAACTCAATTATTTTCAAGAAAATTTTAATTGCATTCTTTTTAATAATTCAATTATTTTCAAAAATATTAATATTCTTTGCAGGAATTTAAATATTTTTCAAAATTTAAAAAAAAATCCTCTGCAATAATTAAATTATTTTTATAAATAATAAAATTCTTCAGACGAATTCAATAATTTAAAATAAAATTTAAAACAATTTTTTTAAAAACTCTTCAATTATTCTTAATAAAATTCTAATTGAATTTTTCCAAATTATTAAATTTTCTTTTCAAAAGTAATAAGATTTTTTGCAAAAGTTCAATTATTTACAAAAAATTAAATAAAATACTTCTTAAAAATTCAAATATTTTCATAGGTAAATAAAAAGTTCTTCGTAGACGAATTTTATTAGATTTTTCTTAATAATTGAATTCCTGTGAAAAATATTATTATTTGCAAAAATAATTAAATTCTTGCGAAGTATTTTATTAAAATTTTTAGAAATAATATAACTATTGTTTGAATCACTTTTTTGAAAACTTAAAATATAGTATAATTCAATTATTTCGAATAATTTTAATAAAAAATTGTATTAAAAATAATTAAATTCTTGCGATGAATTTTATTATTTATAAAAATAATTTAATTCTTATAAACAAATGTTTAAAATTTGAGAAAATAATTGATTTCTTTCAAGGACTTTTATTATTTATGAAAATAATTGAATTCCTAAGAAGAATTTTATTACATTTTTTTAGATAATTGAATTTCTGTTAAAAATTTTATTAATTGTAAAATAATTGAATTACTGCGAAGCATTTTATTAAAATTTTTGGAAAATTTTTTGTAAAAGTTCAATTATTTATAAAAAATTTAATAAAATTCTTCTTAAAAATTCGAATATTTTCACAGGTATAAATAAAAAGTTTCATCGTAGGAATTATTTTTGAAGAAATCAATTATTTTTAAAAATTTCAAATAAATTCTTTGGAAAAATTCAATTAACACAATTTGAATAAAATTTCTTGATGGAATGCAATTATTTTTAAAAAGTTTAACAAAATTTGTTGTTACTTGTTAGAATTCAATTATTTTTAATAAAATTTTAATAGAATTTTTCCAAATAATTCAATTCTTTTCAAAAATAATAAAATTCATTGTAAAAGTTTAATTATTTACAAAAAAATTAAATTAAATTCTTCTTAAAAATTCAAATATTTTCTCGAATAAAAAATTCTTCGCACGAATTCAATTATTTTAAACTAAATTTTTTAAAAATTATTGTCAATAATTCAACAATATCTATAAATAAAAAATTTTTACAAAGGAATTTAAATACTTTTAATAGGATTTTAATTAAATTGCACAAAATTTCAAATCTATTGTTCTTTGCAAAAATTCAATTATTTTTAATACGATTTTAATTAAATGCCGCGAAATTAATAAAATTCTTTGCAGGAATTCAATTATTTTAAAATATGGAAATAAAATTCTTCAGATAAACTCAATTATTAAAAATAACTTTTTAAAAAAATTGTTTAAAGGAACTCAATTACTTTTAATAAAATTTTAATTGAATTCTTCCAAATAATTCAATTATTTTCAAAAATATTAAAATTCTTTGCAGGAATTCAAATATTTTCCACAATTTTAAGAAATTTCTTCAGATGAATTAAATTATTTTAAATAAAATTAAAAAAAAATTTTTCTAAACCTATTTAATTATTTTTAATAACGTTTTAATTGAATTTTTCCAAATAATTCAATTCTTTTCGAAAATAATAAAATTTTTTTTACAAAAGTTCAATTATTTCCAAAAAATTTAATAAAATTCTTCTTAGAAATTCAAATATTTTCATAAATAAAAAATTCTTCGTAGGAATTCAATTATTTTAAAATATTTTTATAAATAAAAAAACTCTTCGCAGGATTTGAATTATTTTCAAAATTTTTCGCAAGAATTCAATTATATCTTATTTAGAAAATACAATTTTTTGCAGGAATTTAATTATTTTCAAAATTAAAAAAATTCTGCACAAGAAATCAATGATTGTTAATACGATTTTAATTTAATTTTTTGGAATAATTCAATTTATTATCATTAATAAATGTAATTCTTTGCAGGAATTCAATTATTTTTAAAAAGTTTTCACAAACTTTTCCGTTGAATTTCCATTATTAAAATTTTTAATAAAAATTTATAGGTAATTATAATATTATAATTCTTTGGGAAAATTCCATTATTTTCAACAATTTAATAATTCCATCAATTATTTGTGTAAAAAAAAGAAATGAAAAAAATGAACTTCCGCGAGGATTCGAACTCAAATATCATAACGCAGCAATCGAGAACATTACCACTAGTCCATTCCACATATTTCGAAAAGAAAATTGATTGAACAAAAATTGTATTTGATTTACGAGTAAATTTACAAGTAAAATTGTAAAAAAATTTGAATAAAAAATAAAAATAAAAATCGTCTTCAAATATATCACTCGAAGTAAAATTAATCTAAATATCGTATTATTAAGAAATAAAAACATTTTTTTACTCTTTTCTTTTTGGGTGAAAAAAAACTGTGTCAAGGTAATGAACGATTACAGTTTCAATCAAACTGGATTACATTTAGGATTATCTTCCATCGTTCACGTGACGTTTGTACATCAATCATACTTTTAGACGCAAATCGATTCGCCTTATTATGCTCGGGGCAAACTTAATACCCAGGAGTGCATTTTTAAAAGCTCCTATAAGTTTGCGTGTACTCACTTAAAATTTGCTTAATTTTCATTTATCACTTCTCACGACTCTATATTATACGTATGTGCTTTTAGGAAATTTTTTTTCTTTCTTTTTTTCTTTTGCTTTTTTTATTACGCAATTTACATTCTTACGGTTTCTCCGAGGGGTTCAAGGGAGGGGGAACTTTACGGTTTTTCGAATAATCGTAAAAATCTATGTCTTGATTTTCATTATATACACACATACGTCTATATATATTTAAACCTATGTTGTAAGCGGTATTAAAATACAACTATTAATAAATTTAATTTCATACTACATAAAACTGAATAATATAACTTTTTTATTATATACAAATAAAAGTTTCAAAAACAATTTTTTTTTTAAAATAATACCAGGCATAATACTAATAATAATTTCGAATAAATCGAAGGATGAAGAGAAAATTAAATTATTATTCTTGTAAAATAACATATAAATAAAATGTAAAAAATAATATAAATATAAAATTTAAATCTTTAGAAAATGTCATCGACCGAATAATGAAAGTTGATCAATAGTTTAATTCACCAGCAAAAAGGAGAGAAAAAAAAAAGAATCGCCATATATTTTATTTCCTGATTGAAATAACGACTTTTGAATCTCGTGTCTCGTGCAATGCGCGCCGAACGATTTTGTGGCGACAGTTTTATGACAAAAATCTTGTTCATATAATTGCGCATGAAACGCGTTTAGATTATCTATTCGCATTCATTGAGGTTAAAGAATGCCAATGTGGATTTATGAAAATTTCAAATCTGTATGCAAAGTGAAGCGATCAAATATAATCAGGAGCAAAATCGCACAACGTTCTCAAAGAGGATATAACATGTAAATTGAAAGGCGACAAGTCCACTCCTTATGTGTCTGTTATTTACAGGCCGGGAGATGTTTTGTTATTTATTGACAAAACTTCACGTCAAAATAATAAAGATAAAATTCAATTTAACAAAGTGGAAAAAAGGCGAGATTTTAGATATATAAATATTGAATCTCTTGGTGGAAATTGGAAAATTTTTCCTTAATAGAATGTTTTTTTTTTTTTTTTTTTTTTTTTTGCTTTTTACGGATAATACGAAACGGGGTATTTATGGGATTATTTATATTATTCAGCGTATTTATATAGCATTATTTATATTATTGAGGGTATTTATTAAAGTGAAGA